CACTGGTGGCACAATGGTTAAGACCTCGGCTGCTAACCAAAAGGCTGGAAGTTTGAATCCACTAGCCACTCCTTGGAAACCCTATGGGGCAGTTCTGCTCTGTCCTATAGAGTCACTATGAGTCGGAACTGACTCGACGGCAATGGGAGTATGATTGTCAGGGTCCCTGGGTGGTGCCAACGGTTTGCACTCAACTACTAACCTAAAGGTTGGTGGTTCAAATCCACCCAGCAGCACCCCAGAAGAAAGGCCTGGCAATCTTCTTCCATAAAGATTGTTGTTGTGTGCCACTGTGTCTTTTCCAACTCATAGCGACCCTATAGGACAGAGTAGAGCTGCCCCATAGGGTTCCCTAAGCTGTAATCTTTACAGGAGCAGATTGCCAGGTCTTTTCTCCGAGAGAGTGGCTGGTGGGTTTGAACTGCGGACCTTTCGGTTAGCAGCTGAGCACTTAACCACTGCGCCACCACGGCTCCTTTCCGTAAAGGTTACAGCCATTGAAAAGCCTGGAGCACAGTTGTGCTCTGACACACCTGGGGTTGCTGTGAGTCGGAATTGACTTGAGAGCAGCTGGTTTGGTTTTTTATTTTTGTGTAGGATGCTCAGAGTTATGGTGCGTCAGTGCAGAAGGACACTGAAGGAAGCTCCGGCCTGGGGAATACCTGTGTCTGGTTCAGTAATTTCATCACTTGTTCTGGAATGTTCCTAGCTGTCTCATGGGGGGGTCCTGAAAGTCTCCAAAAGAGGACACCCTTTTATTTCACTTGAAGTAGGAGAAGGTGGGTGCTGGGTGACATGGCGTGTCCATGCTTTGTGGATGTTCACTGAGAGGTTGGAGTGATCCAGGAGGCTGCCTGGAGGCTGTGGGGCTGGCCCTAGGCTCTGACAGGTAAGGAGGAGAGAAGGCAGGGCAGCCTGGGGCAGGACCAGGGACAAGAGCAGAGAGAGAGAATCTTCAGGGGACGTGAGCTGGTTCTGGGCCCCCCAAAAGAGGCCAAGTGTTCGGGGCCCAAGGAGCCTGGGTGGCACAAATGGTTTGTAATCAGCTGCTAACTCAGAGGTTGGCAATTCGAACCCATCTAGTGGTGCCGAGGAGGAAAGGCCTGGCGATCTGCTTCCGTAAAGATCACAGCCAAGAAAACCCTCTGGGCAGCTCTACTCTGTAACACATGGGGGCACCATGGCTCAGGGGCAGACTCAATGCCAGCTAACAACAACAATTTGAGGCCCAGCACGTCCAGCCAACCTGCTCTCGAACCATTGCCCCTTGTCATTCTCCTGGTAGATGTGTGGGGGTGTAAAGTGTTGCTCCCCCACCTCACAGGTGAGGCACGGGCCCAGGTCAGACCTGGTGATGGGAAGTTCAATTAACTACGAGGCGTGATGTCCCCTCTGTGGTTATCAAATGCCTACAGGGCTGGAGGGGAGACCCACAAAACTTCCCAGAAAGATCCCAGACTGGCTCAGAATTGGCTCCGTCCCTGCCCCCTGCCAGCTGTTACCTTGAGCAGGTCACCGGGCCTCTCGTCCCATCCTGGGAGCCAGGATTCCCGGCCACTCACTCCCCCCTCGCCTCTGCTGACGGGGAGCTAGCTGGGAAGGGCTTGGCCAGGCCACCCGCCGACTCCCTGGATTTATGGCTTTGCTGTCTCCCCATCTATTCTGGGACCGCCGTGTTCTCACTTCTCAGTTCCGTGAGCACCTTGGCCATCAGGCCCGGGGATCCTGGATGAGAGTCCCAGGCGAGATTCCAGGAGGAAGCCCCCGGGAGGCAGTTTCCCCACGGCCCTGCCTATTTTATAACCTGAACAGATGGGGTGCTGTGATCCCCGCTCCGTGCACCATCCGTATTTAAGGGCAGGTTTGACAGACACCCATCTCCCAAAGACCTGAAGTCACACTACAGTGGGGCTACTCGGCCTGCTTTGTGCCTTGGACTGTGTCTCAGACCATAAGACACCACCATCCATCTGTCAAGGAGCCCTGATGGCACAACAGCTAAGCGCTCAGCTGCTGACTGAAAGGTCAGCGATTCACGCTGAGCCAGCAGCTCTGCAGGAGAAAAGACCTGGCGATCTGCTTCCGTAAAAATGACAGCCTAGGGAACCCTGTGGGGCAGTTCTGCTCTGTCCTTTAGGGTCACTATGAGTCACAGTTGACGGCACACCACCACCACCACATCAACCGTCTGTCAGTTTGTCGTACTCTGGTGGCTAGTGTGTTGCTGTGATGCCGGAAGCTGTGCCACTGGTATTTCAGGTACCAGCAGGATCACCCAAGGTGGGCAACCATGGATGCCTCATAGAAGCAAGGATGGCAAGACGCTGGCTCATGTTCTTTGGATGCATCATCAGGAAAGCGCGATCGCTGCAGAAGGACATCATGTCTGGTCAAGTAGAGGGTCAGTGAAAACGAGGGGAGCCCTCCGTGAGATGGACTGACGAAGTAGCCACCACAACGGACTCACACATACCAACGATCAGGAAGGTGGCGCAGGACAGGCCAGTGTTTCATTCTTCTGCACACAAGGTTGCCGTGAGTCGCAGCTGCTGACTTGAAGACAACTAACAACAATGACAAAATAAAATACACGGGTTACCAAGGAGGCCAGTTACACTGGACCACCTGGGGAGGCAGCCCTGCGGGCTTCGTCTGTGGAGAGACCCTCGGAAGCTGTCCTCAGTGCCCATGGGGACAGCTGGCAGGGAGCTGGGGCCAAGGCAGGCGGATTCAGGAGGGACAGCAGCTCCGGGCTGGGAGCGTCAAGGAGGCTGTGCTGGCAGCCTTTTGAGTTCGCTGCCACCTGCCACCTGTGGCACAGAGGAGCTAAGTGACTTGCCCAAAGCCACGGCCACCAGCCGTTGCCCCCGAGCACCAGGCATTGTTGGGCGGTGAGGTGTCATTTAAAACCTCCTCGTGGGTGCTGCTCCCTCCAGCTGCAACATCTCCTGGGGCAGCTTCAGGCTTTCTTTCCTGCAAACTCGGACCCTCCTTTGTCCCCGATGCCCTGCCCCCCTGCCCCCTGCACTCTCCCGGGCAGTGGGTCCAGCTGGTCTTGGCCTCGCCCGTGTGCATTAGCTGTGATTGGAGCCCGGGGCACTCTGGGCCCTGGAAGGCTGCAGTCACCCAGCCTCGCGCAGCGTCCGAGTCCAAGCAAGTTGGAGGCTCTCCACCCTTAGAGGGAGACACCCTGATGCAGGGAGGGGAGCATGGTCCCAGCAGGGCCCTGGAGGGGTGGAGGCTGGAATCAGGATTTGTAGACCAGTGATGATGCGGGGATTCCTGCCTGACCCGGGGCTGCCGGCCACTCCCTGGCTGGGGGAACACGGAGGGTCAGGTCTTGCTTGGGCTGTAGTGGGTGTGAGTTGGGGAGGAGGTGCGGGCTGGCGACCAGGACCCGCAGACCGTCGTTCGGGGGACGTGGCGGTGGCCGGGGGGCCCTGGCGGGAGCAGGGACTGAGCAGCCCCGCCTAGGGCTGTCGGCCCTCCAGAGCAGAGGGTCTCAGTTTGGCTCCTTCTCCCACTGTGGGGATGAGGGTGGCATGGCCTGAAGGCAGCGCAGGGGACCCAGGAGGGGGCCCAGGGAGTGGAGGCATCCCGGGCATGCCAGCCGCCTGCGCAGTGGGCCATGCCCCCAGCCCTGAGCCCGCCCTGCCCGCCAGAGCCTCCCAGTGGGCAGGACCCAGGCTTGGGGAGAATTCAGATCCCTGGGCACTGAGAGAGCCCCAGACACGGGGCAGTGGACGGTGATTATCACCTTTCTTAGCGGGCCTTTTCCAAGCTCATGCCACCACGAAGGAGGTGGGGGAACCATTGTCCCCGTGTCCCCAGTGCCAGGTTATTCTCCTGACCTCTCAGCCCCCAGCTGCCCTGCCCAGAGGCCTCCCTCCCTGGGCTCCAATTTTATTTTTTAATTTTATTGTGATAAAATCTGTATAATGTCAAACTTGCCATCTTAACCCTTTTCAAGGGCACAGTTCAGGGGCATTAATGTCATTCACCGTGTTGTGCAACCATCTCCACTGTCTATTTCCAAACGTTTTTCATCACCCCAAACAGAAGCTCTGTAGCCATTAAGCAGTAACTCCCCGTTGCCCTCCCCCCAGCCCCTGGTAACCACGCATCTGCTTTCTGTCCTGTGCGTTTGCTTGAGTATTTCACGTAAGTGGGGTCACACGGTATTTGTTCTTTTGCGACTGACTTATTTTGCTCAGCATGATGTTTTCAAGGTTCATCCATGTGGCAGTGTGTATCAGACTTCATTGCTCTTTATGGCTGAGTAGTATTCCGTTGTGTATATATATATACTACATTTTGATTATCTGTTCATCTCTTGATGGACACTTGCGTTATTTCCACCTTTGGGCTATTGTGAATACTGCTGCTATGAACATTTGTGTACAAGTATCCGTTTGAGTCCCTGCTTTCAAGTCTTCCGGGTATATACTTAGGAGCGGAATTGCTGGTCGTATGATAATTCTAGGAGTCCTTGGATGGTGCAAATAGCTCAGAGGTGCCTTGGAAGAAGGACCTAGTGATCTACTTCTGAAAAATCAGCTTTTGAAAACCCTGTGGAGCACAGTTCTACTCTGATCAACATGGGGTCGCCACAAGTCAGAGTCGACGGCAACAGGTTTTTTGGTTCTTGGTAGTTCCGTGTTTCACATTTTGAGGACCCCCAGGTTTTGTGTTTTTGTGCATCCTTTCAGAGATGGTCTCTGCCTATGCGTGTGTGCTTGCGTCTGTGTGCATCTGTGTGTCTGTTGTCTGTCTCTTTGTGTGCGTTTGTGTGTGCGCATCTATACGTCTGTGTGTGTCCATCTGTGTGTCTGTCTGCCCGTCTGTGTCTGTCTGTGTCTGTGTGTGCCTGTCTGTGTCTGTCCGTCTGCATCTGCTGTGTGTGTGTTCCTCTGTGTCTGTCCACCCATGTGTGTCTGTCCATCCGTCTGTGTGTCCCTCTGGCTGTCCCGAGCCTCCCTGACAGCCCGCCTTGCCCACAGGTCTCCGTGCTGGCCCTCTTCGCCCTGGCCTTCCTCACCTGTGTCGTTTTCCTGGTTGTCTACAAGGTGTACAAGTATGACCGCGCGTGCCCTGACGGCTTCGTCCTCAAGGTAAAGCTCCGTGCTGCTCTCGGCCCTGGGGCCCCGCCGCAGCTGCGGGGAGCGGGGGTCACTAGGGCAGGAGGGCCTCCATGTGGACCCTGTGGGAGGCCTGCCTTGGGAACTGGGCAGCTGGGGGCCAGGGCAGGTCAGCAGAGGGCTCACCTGTCCAGAGGAAACTCCTGGAGGGCTTCCTGGTGAGGCAGGCCCAGCCAGGGGGCAACACTTCCCTCCACCCTCACCCCACTGGCAAAGGTGCTTGTTCCAGGGAGGGGCAGCAGGCTTGTGTCAGAGCTGGGGGAGGGGGGTGCATTAGTCCTCACGGCACGGGGGTGGGGGAGGAAGCTGAGGCTGTTGGAGTGGGGGCTGGCCCAAGGCGACCCAGCTGGCCGGCATGTCCACATCTGCCAGCTGCTTGGACGACCCGGTGTTGGCCGGCTCTTACATGCGTGGAAATGCCTGCTTAGTGTACAGAATGCCTCGTTCCCAAGCCTGCCAGTGGCACAGAGGCACACACAGGAGAGCAGAATTAAACAAAGGAAATAAGAGGCGGGGGGAGTGAGGGTGAGGAGGACGATGATGCCTGGCTGTGGGCGCCTTCCTGTGCCTTCGCTAGCCCAGCTCTAGATCCACTCTGAACCTTCTAGAGCCAGGAGGAGAGGGAGACCGTCGCTTACAGGATTCGGCGTGGCTGAAATGAAAATACAGGAGAAGCGGCGATCTTTCTGGCCCTCGGCACGTGCAGGAACGACCTGTTTGCGAACGATCACTGGCTGATTGTGGCTGTGGTTTTGGCGTTTGCTGCATGAGGACAGAGGCTCACGGAGCCACGGCCGGAATTCATACGTCTGTCCCCATCCCTTCTTCTCCTTCCACATCCTGTTGTACTTGGGACTTCTGGTCCTTTAGCCCCCCCTTCACTTGGCAAGTCTTTATTTTGTGCCTGCCTTGCGCCAGCTGCTATTGCTGCAGGGCCAGGACAGCCAAGAGCCGCTCAGGTAAAGACCCCTGCTGCCTGGAGCGTGCTCGCGGACGGTCTCCAACAAGTAGTAAGTAAAAGTCCTGGGTGGCACAAACGATTTGCGCTCAACTGCTAACGTAAAATTGGCAAATTGAACCCGCCCAGCTGTGTCATGGAAGAAAGGCCTGGCGATCTGTTTCTGTAAAGATTACAGCCAAGAAAACCCTATGGAGTTCTACTCTGACATACGTGGTGGGGTCGCCACGAGTTGGATGCGATTTGATGGCAGTGAGTTTTGTTTTTTTTTTAATACTGCAGTGGTGGTGTTAGGGGCCGTTGATTCTGACTCATAATGACCCCCAGTGTGACAGAGTAGAATTGCCCCATAGGGTTTTCTAGGCTGTGATCTTTATGGAAGCAGATCCCCAGGTCTTTTCTCCTGCAGAGCTGCTGGGTAGGTTCAAACTGTCAACCTCTCAGTTGGCAGTTGAGCACTTAACTGTTGCGCCACCAGGGCTCCTTCTGTGCCGTGTTAGCAGGTTGGAGGCACTGGAAAAAGCAAACAGAGCAGGGTCAGGGGAGCAGGGCGTGCGGGGCCAGGGTGTGATTTCGGGAAGGCTGGCCCACCCTGGAGCAAAGGCTGGTAGGAAGCCAGCTGAGAAAGGACCTGCAGGCAGGGGGAGGCCCCACCTTCCCCTCGGTTCTACCCCTCTGTCTGGGTCTGAGCATCGTGCTGGGCAGGAAGCTTTCTGGTCTGTTTGGGGGCTGGCGCCGAGTGCACCAATGACCACGATCCAAGGCCGAGTGTAGGGGAGGCAGGCTTGAAGGAGGCTCCAGGGAGGGGAGGGCTGGCCTTGACTGAGCACGTGAGCAGGACAAGAAAGGGGCAAGGCGAACACAGGCAGGATGGGGCGTGAGCGCCCCAGGAAGAAGGCACACAGGACCATGAAGGCTGCGCCCAGCCAGCCCCAATGCCCCTGGCTGCGGATACTGGGAAGCAAGAGGAGATGGCCAAGTTTATGGCCAGACAGGGCAGCACATGGAAAAATCCAAACCAAACCGGTTGGTGTGGAGTTGAGTCTGACTCATGGTGACCCCATGTGTGCAGAACAGAACTGCTCCGTAGGGTTTGCAAGGCTGTGACCTTTCTCGAAGCAAGTCACCAGGCCTTTCTTCCCAGGTGCCTCTGGGTGGGTTTGAACCACCAACCTTTCAGTTAGCAGTTGAGCAGTTGACTGTTTGCACCACGGGGGTCCGGGCAAAGGCATCGATCCCTGACAGCCTCTGGGAGCCCCCGGAGGAGAGGGAAGTGATGGGATGGTCACTTGGTCTCCTGGGGAGGCTGGAGGCAGTGAGACCGCTGGCCTCGCAGGCTGTGCATGAGGTGCCTTGGCCAGGAATAGGACCCAGGTCTCCTGCATGGGAGGCAAGAGCTCTACCACAGAACCAGGTGTACACACACAAACGCTACTCCTCATTTACCCACTGTCTCCTTATCCGACATTTCACATTTATGACAATAGTAAAAAACCTACTATCTGACCATTTGGCACATTAATGACGTACATCTAGTAGAAAGAATGCTGAGGTGCGAGGCGAGAGTAACGCTGGCTGTGATGGTTAAAGTTGTGTGTCATCTTGGCTGGGCCATGATTCTCAGTGGTTTGGCAGTTATGTAATGATGTAATTTGGCAGTTATGTAATGATGTAGTCACTTTCCATTTTGTGATCTGACATGGTCATTCTCCATTTTTGCATAATGCTGATTTTCACATAACGACCTGGCCTTTGGAATCTACGGTGTCTGTAAGTGAGGAGTGGGTGTATGTAGACAGGAGGGAGGAAGGAGACATGGTGCGCACACTCATACCTCTTCTTCCTCAAGCTTTAGCCAGGGGCAGCCGGACACAGGGCAGCAGCTCCCGGGCCCCAGCTGCATGCTCCAGGAGGGACACCCCCAGCAGGTACTAGTGGGAAATGCCAAAGTCCCAAGAGACAAAGCTGGAGCCAGTCCATCAGGGGTTCTTTAATTAGTGTGCATGTACATAGTGTTGTTGTTAGCTGCCATCCAGTCGATTCTGAATCATGGCGAGCCCTTGTGTTACAGAGTTGAACTGAGCTCCATAGAGTTTTCCTGGCTGTAATCTTCAAGGAAGCAGATCACCAGGCCTTTCTTCTGAGGCACTACTGGGTGGGTTCAAACTGCCAACCTTTTGGCTGGTAGCCAAGTGCTTAACCATTGTCCTACCAGGGCCCCTCCATCAGGGGTTTCTGAAGTTCCCAGGGCTGGCTGTGCACCAGGACCTCTGCCGAGCTTTTTAAGCACACAGCCACCTGGGGCCCCTCAGGTGCTGCTGTAGTCTGAGTGCAGCTGGCTGAGACCCAAGGCCTCAGTGGCCCAACTCCACGGGGACAGGTGATGTAACAGAGCCTGGGGCTGCAGGAGGACATGGGAGACGGAGGCAGGCTGAGCCTGGGAGGCAGAGAACGAATCAGGAGAGCATCCAGGGCCAGGGCTGCTGGCCTCAGCTCCTCAGGCAGTCACTGTAGGCTGGGGCCCGTCCTCTGGGCATCCTGGGGCCCACCCAGGGCCCATCTCCGGCTCCATGACATGGGCATCCCAGGGCCCACCCAGGGCCTGGCTCCGGCTCCATGACATCAGCCCCTCTGAGTCACCAGCTCCGAGCAGGCTCTTCCGCCTCCCAGATCCAATCACTCTTCGAGTCTGGAGTCTCGCCAGCTCCCCACTTGGTCCCCAGTGCCCTACTGGTCCAGAGCTGGTCTCTTACCTGGCGCCCTGCAGGTTCTCTCCATGACCCCCACAATTGGATGCAGACTGGACCATTGTGATCCACAGGGTTCTCACTGGCTGATTTTCAGAAGTAGACTGCCAGGCCTTTCTTCCTATTTGTCTTAGTCTGGCAGCTCCACTGAAACCTGTTCAACATCATAACACGCAAGCCTCCACTGATGGATGGGTGGTGGCTGTGCATGAGGTGCACTGGCCAGGAGCCGAATGTGGGTTATAAAAGTTTTAAACCTACTGGGGAAACTACCCCACATCCCACAAGGCGTTTATGTTTGGCTATTCCCCTGCAGTCGCTGTAGGCTGGAGCCCCTCCTCTGGGCATCCTGGGGCCCACTCGGCCTGTCGCACATTCACACAGCTCCTCAGCAGGTCTGATCATGACCTTCACTGGTCGGGTGAGGACGAGAGGCACAGGGAGACTCATCCACGTACCCACGCTCACCATCGGGCCGCTGGCATGGCCACGCCCCACCCACGGTGACACACAGCTCCGTCTCTGTCAGCCCCTCAGGGAGAGGGCGCCCCCCACAGCACTCCATGGAGGCCCCGCTACCATCTTCACTGCACGTCCTCTGGGACTCGGTCCCGCTGTTCTGCTGGGACGTCTTCCTTAACTCCTGGACTCTCGCCCCCCATCGGCCCCCCATGGTGCCTCCCCAGCCACGTTGGGTAGTGTGGCTGCCGTTCTCCCTGGAGGGCGGGGCTGTTTTAGAGCCTTCTCGACACCCAGCTCTGGCTCAGAGGGAGGCACTGCGTGCCAGGGGTGGGCTGTACCCACACGCACTGCAGGGCCCGGGTGGGGTGTCGGGGTGGGAAGGGGTGAAGCGGGAGGAAGGTGGGGGCTGGGGAGAGGGCAGTGTAGATGGGGAGGAGGGCAGCCCCTTCGCTTGCTGGTTTCTTCTTGTGTCACCTTCACGTGACAGGTGAGGACACCAGGCACAGGCCCGGCTCACTGCAGCGCCCCCCCGCCCCCGGCCCAGGCAGTGCTTCCAGCGAGAGCCCTGTGGGTCGTAACAGTGGATCTGTATCCGATCATGGCGGTCATGGGAGAACCTGCAGAGCGTCCAGTGCCCAGGGTGGCTGGGGTCGAGCACTCGTAATCCAAGGGCTGCCCGTGGCACCGTGCCGTCAGCCCTGTGACCTTGGGCACGTCCCGGCTCCTTAGCTGGGCCACTGCTCACTGAACTCGAGTCCTCCGGGAGGCGTGGATCCTTAGCCCCATTGTATAGATGAGGGAGCGGAGGCTCAGTGGGAGAAGGGACTCTCCAGTGAGCTCAGCTGGGAACCGGGTAGAGCTGGACCTGCTTCCTCTTCCAGCACCAGCTGCTCTTCAACCCTCGGAAGCGCTGGACCAGGGCGGGGCTGGGTGAGAAACACACTCACTGTTGGTTGTTTCTCTTCAGAAGACAGCTCTGTGCTCACAGGGACGAGCAGGGATTGCAGGTCTTGTATTTCAAGGTTTGGCGAGCAGCTGAGGAGAATGTTTTTCCACAGAAAAGTGTGCATTTCTTACTTCCCTTTACACCTTCATTAAACCAGTGGCCACTGAGTCGCTCTCTGGGGAGAGCCAGGAGCCCCTGCAACCCCAGTGGGGAAGACACCCAGGCCACGTGGCTGAGGCCCAGGACCCGGCTGAGGCACGGGGGTAGAGGGTACAGGTTTGCCGCCGGGATCAGCTTCTCATGTATGAACCTCTGCAAGATCCACCCCTCCCCCCAAAAACAACCCGTTGCCATTGAGTCAATTCCAACTCAGCAACCCTGGAAGACAGAGTAGAACTGCTCCATAGAATTTCCAAGGCTGTAAATCTTTACAGAAGCAGATCACCAGGTCATTTCTCCCTCAGAGCAGCTGGTGGGTTTGAACTACCAACCTTTCAGTTAGCAGCTGAGCACTTAACCATTGTGCCACCAGGCCTCCTGTATGACCCCGGGGCCCTCTAAGCCATCCCCCACCCCAAGCCCCCCTTTCACCTGCTCACCATCTTACTCATGGCTGTCGAGTCGATTCTGACTCTTGGTGACCCCCTGCATTACAGTTACACTGTGCTCTGTAGGGTTTTTTTTTGGCTATAACCTTTCTAGAAGCAGATCACCAGGCCTTTCTTCCACAGATTGGCTGGGTGAGTTCAGAACACCAACCTTTCGGTTAGTAGACGAGCGCAAACTGTTTGCACCACCCAGTACACAGGGACCCGTCATCCTCTTAGACCCCAGTAATGACGGATGGTAGCTGTGTGTGCAGGCCTGGGCCAGGCACGAGGCCAGCCCCTGGTCCCCAGCAACCACACAGAGTGGGTACCATCCTCCATCTGCAAAGGAAGACGCAGGCCCAGAGAGCTCAGACCTGCCGCTTCCCATTTGACCCGCCTGAACGTGGCTTTTCTGAGCAAGGCCACAGGGCAGGGTGAGGGGCCGGCAGGCTGATGGCAGTAGCGCCGCTGCTAGCTGGGCTGTGCTGGTGTTAGCCGGGCTGGCAGTGGCTGGCTTCTGAACCCACTGGGCAGCCCATCTATGGGGGACCCTCCTGTTAACCTCATGCTGACATCCCTGTTCACAGCGGTCCTACCAGGAACCAGGAGGTGCCAGGGCAGGTTTCCCCAGGCAGGAACTCTCCAGAAAAAGGAGGAAGTGGGCCGCATTAGAGAAAGAACAAGGCACCCTGGTCACACCGGCCACACCTCGAGACCACCCAGCTGGAGCTTTGCTAGGACTGGGACACCACCCTTCTCTCCCTCTCGGACGCGCTCGGGTGTCGCAGCCCTGGGCTCCTTTCTGTCCTGGGTTCCTGGTGGGACGGCTGCGTCCAGGCAATGCCAGGTGGATCAGCACACTCCAGGGCTCAGAGGATGACGAGACAGCCTGGCATCTGGCTGGCCTTGTGGGGTAACAAGAGTGTCACGCAGGCCGTGGCGTTAGAGCTGGGGCCCAGTTGCAGCGCTGATTCGTACCAGCAGGATCCTGAGCCGCCCTGAATTCAGCTCCCTCCTGAGTAAGATGAGCACAGTGTCCCCACCTCTGAGGGTCTCATGGGGGAGACGAGGATGAGGAGTGCACCCTGCAGTGCATGATGTGATAAGGACAAGCGGGCAGATTTGAGTGCTGGCGGAACACAGACTATTCTGACTAAAGGAAGGTTCTACCCACCTCCCCCTGGGGCAGGTGAGCCCATGAAAGGCCCCCGTGTCTCACTGAGCTGAGTGGGAGGTCACGTATCAGCACCTTTCGACGTGGAGGGGGTGGGGGTGGGGCCCCGACCAAGGCCAGGCTGGCGTTCCATCACTCACCCACGTGGCCTGGGCGAGTGACTTCTCTGGGCCTCACTTCTGCCATCTGTAAATAATGGGGCTAATGAGACAATGTGTTGTGAAAAACACTGCATACTGTCAGGTCCGAAGACGTGTGTGGGAGGCAGAGCCCAGCTCTGTCTCTGCTGCCAGGGAAATGAGAGACAGCCTAGAACCTACAGGGAAGCCCAAGGAGCAGCCCACTCAAACAGGATGCTGAGTCAGCTGCCTTCAGCTTTCAGAGACAGACAAATGTGAGCTGAGGAAAGGACTTGGTTCCCAGAAGCGATTCCCCTGGTGCCTCTGTGGCCGGGATGGATGTAACTGGCCGCCAGCCACACCCCACCCGCTGCTGTTGTCCACCATCCTAGTGATGGCCTGAGGCGGCCAGTCATCGAACCATGTATACGCTGGGTGGGGACATGAGTCACTTTTACAGCTGCGGGATGAAGCTAACAGGGTGTCCTTGTGAAGCACCAGGAGCTGGCCTCTGGTGGACTCCGCCCCTTCCCAGGCAAGCGGCCTTGGCAGACACTTGAGGTGATGCTACACATCAGAGCCATCTGGGGGGACGGTTAAGAATAGATTTACTACAGCAGATGCACGAGTCGGAATCTCGGGGGCAGGGTCCGAGAACCTGGATTTCACCACCTCCCCAGGTAGTGTTATGTGAAGCTGAATCCGTGCCACCGCCCCCACCGTGACCCTCTCCACTGTTGGATGGGAAGGTGATCGTGGCTTTGCAGAGCCGGAAGGTTTCTCTCTCATGTTCAAGTCCAAGCTGGAAGGCAGTGCAGGGCCCCCCAGGTTCCCCTGGACCCTGGCTCCCTGCCTGTGGCCCTGCCAGCCCAGGGTGTGTCACCCTCCTGTGGCCGAGCTGGCTTAGACCACTTTGGGACGCAGGGAAACAGAAACTGGGCGCAGAGGGGCAGGCAGCATCCTCTTGGGCCTGGTCGGAACATGCTTATCACACTTGTCCCCATGCTGGGCATTCCCTTTCCCTGGCCATGTGGGAGGTGGGAAGGGGTCTCTTGCTGGCGGGCCACGTGCCCTGCTCTGGGAGGAAGTGGAGAGCAGAAGGCCAGCCACAGCCTGCCACACCTTCCTGGTGGGGTCGTGTGAGGGATGACCCCCTCTGTGAGCAGACCACTCGTGACGGTCAGCAGCAGTACTGAAGACCCACAGATTAGGTCAGCCTGGAAGCGAGGAGCTGGCCTCGCTGGCAGGACAGGAACCTGTTTGGGGCCCTTGACCCCTGACGAGCTGATGAAAACTGTGTACTGGTCTTCCTCCAAAATGCCCACACAACAGAAGTCCACAGAGAACCACATCTGAGCCATTGGAGCCCCCCACCCTGGGACTTCTCAGGGCTTCCCGGCCTGTAGGGCCAGCACCGCTTCCCAAGGGGACAGTGTCCTGGTGCGGGGCCCACACACGCTCCCACACACACCCCTAACCCTGGTCAGTGGCCGCCTGTGCTCTTGGTCAATAGGTCAAACCCATGACCCTTTACATGACCATTAAGGCTGTTTCACTTGACCTCTGCCTTTTCCAGCATTTTTTTTTTTTATTGTTGTAAATGTATGTAGAACACATTTACCAAGTCAGCATTTTCAGGCGTACAATTTAGTGATACTGTTTACGTTAATCACGTGTGGAACCATCACCCACACTTGTTGCCAAATTCCCCATCACCGCAGACAAGCTCCGTCCTTCGCAGGGACCCCCCGTTCCTCCTGCCCCTGGGAACCTCTGATCAGCTGTGGTTTCACCTGAGATCACACAGTGTGTTCACCCTTTGCGACTGGCTCGTTCCAGCAGCGTGTCTTCAGGATTCCTTCACGTGGTGGCGTGTGTCAGGACTTCATTTCTCTTTACGGTTTTCTAGTGTTTTCCTCGTGCACCTCCTGGCCTTCCCTCGCTCCCTCGTACTGGCCAGTCTTCCTGCCCCGAGGCTGCTCCCTCTGCCCCAAGGGCTTCTATGCCCCTCGCCTGGTTAAGGGCGACTCACTCACCGTTCAGACCCCAGCCCCGGGCAAGCTTTTCTGCCATCCCTTCCTGCTGAGTGCCTGGTGGACACGTGAAAAGTTTCATTGATTTTTTTAGTAGACTAAACACAGATGAGGAGCCCTGGTGGCCCAATGGCTAAGTGCTCGCTGCTAACTGAAAGGCTGGTGGTTTGACCCACCAGCGGCTCCTCGGGAAAAAGACCTGGCGATCTGCTCTTGTAAAGATTACAGCCTAGAAAACCCTATGAGGCATCTGTCACATGGGGTCACCGTCAGTCAGAAATGACTCAGCGGTATACAACAACGAACAGAAATGACAACCAGTTCGAGGCCTTCGGTGGAGCAGGGAGCCTATTGTCCTGCTGTGCAGCTTGGGAGCCCCAGTGACAGGGGTCTGCTCACCCTGACTGAGGAAATGCAGACTTCCGCTGAGGCAGGCACCAGGTCTGCTTCTGCTCATTCTGTTTCTTCCCCAAGCCCAGGGACGGTGCTCGATAGCATCTGCCAGGAGTTTGATGGAGACCCCGCGCTGACGCGTGCTTTTCTGTGGCCTCATGTCTTCCAGAACACCCAGTGCATTCCAGAAGGTTTGGAGAGCTACTACACGGAGCAGGACTCCAACGCCCGGGAGAAGTTCTATACGGTCATCAACCACTACAACCTGGCCAAGCAGAGCATCACCCGCTCCGTATCGCCGTGGATGTCCGTCCTGTCGGAGGAGAAGCTGTCCGAGCAGGAGACCGAGGCCGCCGAGAAATCGGCTTAGCGAGGTGCGCCAGTGCCTGCCAACAAGGTGTCGCTTGGAGGTAACAAAGGGACTTTGAGGGACATTTCATTCAATATAATTACCGATACTTTAGAGGTTACTCATTTCTGGTGCGATTGCTTCTGTTTGCTAATGCTGCTTTGCAAATACAGCGTGCTGCAGGCCACTTGTGGGCGTCCAACCAGGAGCATCTCAGCATTGCTTCAAGAGCTCTGGCCCCACCTTTCATGTTAAGAAATCTTAATTTAGCTCCTTTACTGGGATTTATTGGATGCCGTCAAAAAATAAATTTACACTGGATATAGCAGGGATTTGGACTAGAGAAAAATAATGTATTTTGTGGAATTCATTTTTTTCCTAAACCACCTTGCTGTTTGCAAACCTTGCTCTATAGCCACACCTAGAGCCATCTCTTGCTTAGCTAAGAGCAAGCTTTCCATTTCTTTCCACTTCCCATCAGAGGGTGATGGTGCTGGTCGCCCAGACACACTGTAGTCAGGGGTACAGTTTGTGGAGGGCAGACCCCCCCTGCCCCACCCAAGTGGACCTGCGCATGAGCAAGTGCCCGTGAGAGGCCTGCTTGGGGTCACTCTGTCACTGTGGTCCACAGAAGGTCACTTAGTGCCCTGGCTGTGCCTCTGCTAAAAAGTGTGGACATCTACTTGCATAGGGGGTAGCTGTGTTTCACTTGGGGTGTCCACAGTGTCACAGCATGTGCGGTGAGGGGCTCTGGGGACAGGGGACCTGGGGTCCTTAGGCTGTAGAACCTGACTCCTTGTAGCTATCCGGCCCCACGACCTGCAGAGTAGGAATGAAACCCGCTGGCCCTTTTGCTCACTTCTGTGACGAATACATTTGCACCACCAGCCTCGTTAGCAAGTGAGTTTGTAAAAGTTAGCACAGCGGGGAAGCGGCGAGGTTGATGCTGGTTAAGCCAGGGCCCCTTTCTGTTGGACTTTGTGAAGCAGACACGATGACTGTGATGGGAGATGGGTGGGGGGCTGCGGAGGGGCTGGGGGGCATGCACATCCAGTTAGGGAATTTCAGTTCACAGTCTTTGTGAAGAATGATGTTTCGGTTTGAATCTTGACATTAAAGTATATGTTTACAAAATTGCCAGTTAGAGAAACTAAGTGTGTAAAATGATTAAATGGAAAAAAGATCTTCACAGACGTTTTCTTCCATGTTATTTGAATGTGTTGTGTCTGGTGGACATGGCAGAAGTTTCCCCGGTTTTCGGTAGATCAAAAACGAACGACGAGTAGCACAGGCTCTGTTGCAAACAAGCGTGGGGGTCGCGGTCAGCTCTGCTGCTGCCCCGAGATGTGCGTCCCGACATGAGCCATGTTTTACTGTCAAGGGTGTTTGCAACAGGCCCCACGCGCATACAGCTGTGCGCTATGAAGGTCTGGAAGGGCGTTAAGCGTGGGGAATGCATAAAGTGCAGTTAAGTATGTGCCAAAACTCTTCCTGCATGTAAATAAATAAACTCAAACCCGCGTCAGCACGTTACAAAGGCAGCCCCCGTGTGTGTGTTCTAGTAGTCATGTACTTTTACTGTCTGTAAATCCATTCACATGTAACTGTGGACATTGTCACTCTGTTCAAATCACACAAGGACATCTGTGGCTGCCCAGCAGACGTTGTCTGTACAGTTCACCCATTTCGCGAGGAAAAGCGTGAACCACCTCGCCAAGTGGGGCCCTCGAACACCAGGATGCTGTCTGCACAGATGTGGCTCCAGATGTTCCGAGCTTCCAACCGCCATTTACGTTTCCTAGAGGGCCGGTGTGGGTGGGGCACAAGAGCACACCTGGCCTTCCAAGGCCCGCCTCCTCTGCACAAACGCTGCCGGGACCCCACTGGGAGGAAAGGAGGCCCCCTCCCTGGCCTGTCAGAAGAGGGTTGGGGGTGGCAGCTCATGGGGGCGTCAGGCCCAGCGGCCCCTCCCTGAGTGCCCCAGAGCCTGTTCCTTCTTCCCTCACACGAGGCGGACGGCGACGGACGTCTGAACCTGGACGCGTTAACAGAACGTTGGGTTGCCGCAGTTGTACTAACCAGATTAACAAGGTGACTGTGGCATTTCTTCCCTCCGACATGCGTACCGTGCGTGTGCTGTGTGTATCCTCATGTATCCACTGACTCAGGCGAGAAGCCACAAGGAAACGGAGGGCATTAGCGTTTTATTACGACAAGGTCTTCACTGGGGTCCTCCTGAACTAGAGGGTGGGGAAGCCAGAGAGCTCCTATGAGGCAATCCAGGGGAGCGCAAGGCCTGCTGTGCACCCCTACTTGGGCAGCCCCCTTCTGTGGCAGGCTCGTGTTTGGGTGCAATTGGTAACAACTGCCCCCATTTAATCCGACGTGCTCTATGATTCCTACACAGACCACTTTCGATGGGCGGTGTTTCCTTTCCCAGCTCCTGACAGGGCAGGCGTACAACCACTGATTTGGGTGTCCCCCGTGTGTGAGGGTACGTGTCTGTTTCAGCCCGTCCCCCCACCCCCACTCTATGACAGGTCACAACCTTGCCCGGTGCTGGAGATTCCAGAGACAGCACACAGCTGTCAGAAACAGCCGTGCAGAGGTTCTGGCACTGCACACACCTGTTGGGAGGCGTCAGCCACTCCTGCCCCGCCTAGCTGTCGTACCAGTCGAGGAAGAGCAAGGAGAAGGAGCACATGACAAGGAAAAAGAGGATCCACACACGGAAGCCGGCGTTGTTCTTAATGGCCTGGAGGAGGGAGGGAACAGGAGGATAGGGTTCTATCACACGGGACCGTGGCGTCAGCGCCCTCCCATGCCTGTGTACTCCCGTGCACGCCCCCCGTCTCAGCTGTACCATGTGTTACTCCTGTGCACGCTCCGTCTCGGCTGTACTATGTGTTACTCCTGTGCACGCCCCCCGTCT